AGGGACTTGGGGCGACGTTCGGGCCTGGGCTCATGTTGAGATTAATTTATTCCTGTAGTCCTACTGTTCTGTGATGCATCCGAGTGCCTTGCCTGTGTGTGAAAAATAAAGCCGGGAGTTGGAGCCATCTAATTAGATGGCTTAACCCAACGTGCTGCTGTTCGGTCTCCACCAAGCTCTCTTGCTTTGATGGTAACCAAAATAGATGAATAAGTTAATCAGAGGTCTGATTAAATAGCACGACTCTGTGGCATGGGCTGGTGATTGCCAAGCTTCAATTCAGGCAAATTCTCAGGGGAGTGAGGAAACCAAGCTGAGTTCCAAAGGCCCGGGCTTACACGAGGAAGAGTTTTATAAAACCCACGGGAGGGAATTATTCAGAGTCCTCAGGCCTCAGATCTTAAGATGATGGCTGACCTGGAAGCTGACTTCAAAGGAAGACTATGGTTTGCGGAAGGAACACAAACATTTCACCTGGCAGATTCCAGCTACAGCTTTGCATCTTGCTTGGTGAGGATTTGCTACTAATCAGTCACCTTCCTGTGCCATCCATCTGTCTGCCCATCTATCCATCTGTCTTCCCATGCATCCTTCCATCTCCCCAGCCATCCTGCAGATGTGTGTTGTGTCTGTGATGTGTAAGGCTTGGTGCTTTGATCTTGCCATCATTTGTTTAAATTAATGGCCGTTCTACTGTGTTAGGTTTGTCCCTCTGGGTTCTTTCTGATCTTTCTTCACTCTTCCCCTTGGGCTGACACCTAAGGGCTGCAACCCCAAGCTTACTTTCTCACTGGATTTTGTTTGGGTTTGCCCAGTGGGGTGCCCTGGCAGGAGTCCTAGGGGCAGGAGGAGAGGGGGAGCTGAGATCTCTCTCCCTGATCCATCCTGAGGGATTGTTGCAGCAAGGTCATGTCCCTCTTCTGAAGGTCACTGCTCCTGCTAAGGGGCTTATTCATCTGACTCCCCTCTTTGGATACTAGAAGAAGCTGGCATTGGCCCTTCATGCCTGGAGTGGTAACGACCCCCAACTCTTCCCCTCCCCAAGCCTGCCCAGTGCCTTGTTTCTGCCCTTAAATTCTGCATTCACTCACACTCTGACCGATAATAATACACTGGAAGTGACTCCCTTTTATAAACGGCAGAAACTCAAGCCTAGCAGACTTGACCAAGTTGACATGGTGATTAATTGACAGTGTCAGAATATGAGCGCAGGTATATATCTGACTCCAGGACCCAAGGTTCAGTTCTGTACTAGATCCCAGAGATGCCCCCAGCCTTCAATATGAAGCATTGAAGAGGTGCACGCCTTTGTGTGTTAGTTGCTCAGTTCAGTTCAGCGCCTCAGTCGTGTCCGAGTCTTTGCCGACCCCATGAACCGCAACACGCCAGGCCTCCCTGTCCATCACCAACTCCCGGAGTTTACCCAAACCCATCTCCATTGAGTCGGTGATGCCGTCCAACCATCTCATCCTCTGCCATCCCCTTCTCCTCCTGCCCTCAATCTTTCCCAGCATCAGGGTCTTTTCAAATGAGTCAGCTCTTCGCATCAGGTGGCCAAAGTATTGGAGTTTCAGCTTCAACACCAGCTCTTCCAATGAACACCCAGGACTGATCTCCTTTAGGATGGACTGGTTGGATTTCTTTGCAGTCCAAGGGACTCTCAAGAGTCTTCTCCAACACCACAGTTCAAAAGCATCAATTCTTCAATAGTTGCTCAGCCATGTCCAACTCTTTGCAACTCATGGACTCCTCTGTCCATGGAGTTTGCCAGGTGAGAATACTGGAGTGGGTTGCTATTCCCTTCTCCAGAGGATCTTCCCCACACTATGTACATACTGGAAATGGGGAGAGAGAATCAGGACAAAGGGTGGGTGCACATTTGCTGAGGATCTTTTGTGTACCAAGCAGTTGAGTCCTTTAGACTCCTTCAGTTTTTACAGTAACCATGTGATATAGCAGCAGCTCCATTTTTACTGGTAAAGAAACCAAGGCTTAGAGAAATCAACCCTTCATGTGGGGCTGGAGTCCAGATTTGAACTTTTGTTTCTTTTTTCCCTCCTCGGTGCTACCCAGGAACAAGATGACAGATTGTAGGCAGTCGTCAATGCTTTTTTCTCTCGAAATTAACACATGGTGAAGAGTTCGTTTATGTTTTCTTTTTTTCTGGTCAGAATTGTACTCAATGCAAAGAGCCGTTGCAAAACTGAGAATAAGGAATAGCTAAAATGGTATTTGCAAACAAATTGGAGATGAAAACATAACGTGGAGTAGGTGTGAGAGACAGAATGGGTCATATGAGTTATCACATAAGGTCCTTTCTGATAGCTTTCTTAAACTGACTTCGTAAGCTCTTGCTTCCCATCACTGGATCCTTATATGTTTAAAATGAAGAGTTTGTCACGCTTAGTTTTTCTTTAAAACATTAGTAGTTGCTAATTTTTTCAAGTTGGCAAAAATAGATTAAACGTGTGTTTGTAACATGAATATATGTATATGTATGTGTGTGTGTATATATATCTGTATCTGGGGTTTCCCTGGTGGCTCAGATGGTAAAGAATCTGCCTGCAATATAGGAGACCCTGGTTCAATCCCTGGGTTGGGAAGATCCCCTGGAGAAGAGAATGGCTACCCATTCCAGTATTCTTGCCTGGTGAATTCTGTGGACAGAGGAACCTGGCGGGCTACAGTCCATGGGGTCTCAAAGAGTCAGACACGACTGAGCACTAACACTTTTTCATATCTATATCTATTTATACAGAGAGGCTGTGTACTCCTTTCATCCCCCAAATGATTTGTGTTAATGGTTTGATGCTGTGCTTCCATTTCTTTTTTCTCTGCATTAATCTGGGTGGATATGTTTTCATATTGTTTGATTATATACAGTGGTTATCAAGCAAAAGCAGTTTTTAAGCTTCCTTTTTTTACTTTTAACATTATATGTCAGTTTCTTTTCATTCCATTTTAATCTATATTGTTTGTGACAACTGCACAGTGTGCTATCAATGCTTTGTGTCTGCATCAGGTTTTAGTTGTGACAGGCAGGATTTTTTTGTTTTTCTTTAGCCGCAGCATGCAGTCTCTTTGTTGAGAAGGAAATGGAATGGCAACCCACTCCAGTAATCTTGCCTGGAAAATCTTATGGACAGAGGGGCCTTGTGGACTGTAGTCCATTGGGTCACAAAGAGTTGGACACGATTTAGCAACTAAACAACAACAAGTATTGGCTCTTAGCTGTGGCATGTGGGATCTTGGGGCATATGGGTTCTAGTTCCGTGACCAAGGATTGAACCTGCATTTGGAGTGTGGAGTCTTAACCACTTTACCACCGGGAAAGTCTCCTATCACATTTTTAAAATACCACGTTTTAATTGACTGTTTAGTTTTTCGGCATTTGGATTGTTGCTATTTGTTTACTTTTATGACATGATGTGGAGAAGGCACTGGCACCCCACTCCAGTACTCTTGCCTGCAAAATCCTCATGGACAGAGGAGCCTGGTAGGCTACAGTCCATGGGGTGGCTAAGAGTCAGACTTGACTGAGCGACTTCACTTTCACTTTTCACTTTCATGCATTGGAGAAGGAACTGGCAACCCACTGCAGTGTTCTTGCCTAGAGAATCCCAGGGATGGGGGAGCCTGGTGGGCTGCCGTCTATGGGGTCGCACAGAGTCGTCCACGACTGAAGCGACTTAGCAGCAGCAGCAGCAGCATGACATGATGATGAACTTCAGGAATAAAACTTTGATCTCGTTCTTAAGTGTGACTTTAAAAAAAAAAAAAAGTGTGTCCTCGAATGGAATTACAAGGACCAAAAGGGTGAATATTTTTTTGGAATTTTTATGAGGTGACCACATTTCCATTAAAGGGTTCCATTTCAAATGTTCATTCCTTGAAAACAAATGTGCTTTGGCTTCCATGGAGATTCCCGTGGCAGCTGAGACGAGACCCTGCCCAGAGTGATCTTCATAAATGGCCTTCGCTTCTGGAAGCTTTCATCACACTGGTGTTTGGTATTATTGTCAGCCTTCATTAGTAGTAGTAGTATCTTTAGTAGTATTATCAAATGGTACTAAGGTGTGTGACTTGCTGATGTCCCCGCCCACCTGAGGGACATGTGGCATGCCTTTGTTCTTGTATGTTCTCGTGTCTGACTCTGCGACCCCATGGACTGTAGCCCGCCAGGCTCCTCTGTCCATGGAATTTTCCAGGCATGAGTACTAGAGTGGCTTGCTATTTCCTACTCCGTGGGGTCTTCCTGACCCAGGGATTGAACCAGCCTCTCCTGCACTGGCAGGCGGGTCCTTTACCACTCAGCCACCTGTCATTCCTTAATAGCACGTGAGGATCTCAGTGTTAGCGCTCCATGGGCCACCCCTCTGTGAGTGCATCCTGTCTTGCTACCCAGTGAAGAGTGGCATGTGGATCATGACCAGCTCCTTCCTGTGTGTTTATCTGAGAGTGAAAAGAATGGAGCAACAATAACCTGCTCCATTGTAGCTTTAAAAAAAATAGATAAGTGTACAGTTTAATGATACCATTAAGTAGTCATTTTTAATGGCACAGAAATGTAATAAGACTTTAAGGAATACATCTATCCAGGAACAATTAGACATTGGTTGCGAAAATATATACAGTGTGATTCAATTTTTGAAACCTTTATTTCTTTTGTGAATGTTTTCTCCAATGAGCCTGTGTAATTTCTATAATAACAAATCTTATTTTAAAATATCTGAGTGTAGTAGTTGCATGGGGTAGTTATTTCAAAAACATTACTCTCCTTCTCCCTTGATTCAGATACATTTTCTTCTAAAAGAACTTCACAATCCCAGCTGTAAATTACATGAACAAATCTTTAAGAAAATATTCATTCATTTACTCTACAAATTTTTATCAGAACCTTTTGATGTACCAGGCGCTATTTATAATGCTTGTGTAAAAAATTAAATGTAGTGATTTTCTTTTTGCTTTCTCCTACTCTTTCTCTTCACTTCCCTGTCTAGTCTGAAGTTTCCTGGATCCCCAACAAGCACTACTCTGGGATTTATGGTCTGATGAAGCTTGTCCTCACCAAGACTCTTCCTGCCAACCTGGAGAGGGTCATCGTGCTTGACACAGACATCACCTTTGCAACAGACATTGCCGAGCTCTGGGCTGTGTTCCACAAGTTCAAAGGTAATTATAGCTCTTTTTTGTTTTTCTGACATCTTTGAAGGTACTGACTGGCATGACAAGAAGAGCAGTTGTGTTTTTTTTTTTTAATGTGAGGGCAGCTCTTAATGAGGTCATGCTAATGAAATAGACAAGCAATTACAAATAGAGGTGAGCATCAGTTCTACTCTCATTTGATACTTGTCAGAGGAAAACTGGGATTGGCTTGGATGTCTTTAATAATTGAAGAGGTAAGATCTGTGTTCATAGGAAGAACCCAACTGAGGGTTGTTGAATTGCTTTGTAAGAGACAGATATGAAATGTGTGTATTTTGTGTGCCCATAATTGAGTGTTGGCTTCCTCATGTGGAGACACGCATTTATTGGTTTTCCCTTTTTATCAAATGATACTTTGATTGCTGAGAAAGCCTGTGAGATGGTGGTGATGGCTACTCATTGTAGAGTGTTTGAAAATGTTCTTATGACTTTTTCTTTCATTAAAATTTAATGGTTTATCATTTTAAAGAAGTAAATTTGGCTTTCTAAGAGGTTCTTTCTGGTCAGTTTCTTCTTAGTTTTTATTGTTAACTCTTGTCACTGCCCCAAGGTATGTGTGAGTATCAGATAGGAAATTGTGAGGACAGTCAGTGTTTATAACTGGTGTGGATGCATGAGAGAAGCAGCAGGCACAAACCCTGCTATTATTTTAATACCCCTCTCCCAGGCGCCATCCTTTAAATTACCTTATTAGTTTTATATTCTCAATATTAGACAAATACATTGAGAGATAAATCTAGTGGTGAGTTTTTTTTTTTTTTTTCATCTGGCTTCTGCACTCTGGCTTCTGTGTTTTTTTTTTTTTTTTCCATTTATTTTTATTAGTTGGAGGCTAATTACTTTACATCATTGCAGTGGTTTTTGTCATACATTGAAATGAATTAGCCATGGGTTTACATGTATTCCCCATCCCGGTCCCCCCTCCCACCTCCCTCTCCACCCGATCCCTCTGGGTCTTCCCAGTGCACCAGGCCTGAGCACTTGTCTCATGCACCCAACCTGGGCTGATGATCTGTTTCACCCTAGATAATATACATGTTTTGATCCTGTCCTCTTGAAACATCCCACCCTTGCCTTCTCCCAGAGTCCACAAGTCTGTTCTATACATCTGAGTCTCTTTTTCTGTTTTGCATATAGGGTTATCGTTACCATCTTTCTAAATTCTGTGTTTAAAATCCCTCCTGCCTCTTCTCTATCGCTCCTTATCCTCTGAAGGTGAAATATTGCTTCCTGATTTTAATCACAGCATTCTCAAGAATCACAGGCTATTCCAGTTGGTTTCTGTTTCCATTCACTGACAGAAGAGTAAACTCCTCACCCACTCTAGCCTCTGCCTGCTTCCTTCTGGGAGCCTCCCACCTTTGGGATAATTGAAAAAAGTCCTCAGCACACCGTGGGAGTGAAACTACTCTGACCCTTGGACTCTTTTCCTTGTCAGGATCAAAACTTTCCTTATCTGTGTCAATAATGACACTAATAGACTGTTGAAACAGAGTGTGTCTCAGCTTTCTGATCGCTTCTTCATAGAGTGTTTGGACCTGTCGTTTTAGTTCACAAATAAAGGAACAGGAGCTTGGCAGGATGCAAGTTTCCACTTGGAGTTGAGACCCGAGTGCCTGTGCACATTGTCTTCCCTGCGCATCTCTTTTCAAGGCCCCCATCACATCTACTTGTTTTTGTTTTTTCCTGATTACAATGCACTCTTTAGGGGCATTTTTTCTATAGTGATGTGGCATTTTATTCCTATTTTAGTGCTGACCTTCAGGATTCAGTGATGTACTTATTCAACAGGCACTTGTTGCATCCCCGCTGGGGGTCACCGGCTGTAAGGAGTCATCCACTGGGCCCTGGCTGTATGATGAGAAGTTAAGTGGGGAGGACGGGTCACCGCCTCCCGTGGAGGGAGGGACCTCCACCTCCAGCTGGGACCATGTCACTGTAGACCTGATGATCATGTCCGTCTTGCAGGATGAGAGTTGTGGTTGTGTGTGGTGGACACTCACATTCCCCTTGGGGAGGAAAGGCTCATTCCTCCAGCTGCTGGGAGACTGCCTACAGGTGGGCTCTGCTCTCGGCCGTCTTTGGGGAATGGTCTCAGGTGAAGAGAGTCACCTTGCCCGGGGCCACACCCACACCATGGACTGAATGATGCATGTGAAATCTTGCAGGATCCACTGGCATCTCCCTGGCAGCCACATTTCTCCCTGTGGCGAGTCCTGCTGGCACGCTGCCCCATTCATAGATGCTGTTCCGAGAATTCTCCCTAAGTTAACCCCCAGCGTGCTCTCTCCCATTCCTGCATCTACTTCCCGAGAAACTGAGCCTGCCATATACATTCAGAGCTGCAAGTCTCTCTTGGATGAGTGTAACCCAGCAACATCCCAGGGATGGGTGGTCCCTAAAGGTAACCTGTCACTGGGAAATCACATCTATTCTGTCCCAGCAAGGACCTGCCACCACGCTGGTGGGGTTCCGTCGCCCGTCACAACCACAGTAATAATTCTGGTGTTAAGCCCACCCACCCCCATATCCCCATGGACGGGAAGGCACCCAAGGCTCATGCTGCTCCCAGAGATGACACAAGGATGTGGATTTGGAGGGCTCAGAGACTCAAGGCAGCTCCTGGGGCAGAGCAGAGTATATGGGCCAAGGTCAGGGCCGTGGAAGTTTGACTGCAAGGAGTTCAGTTAATGGGCTGCATTTATTTGCCCATCCTCTTGTTGGTTCATTTCGAGCATTAGTCAGGCCCCCACAGTGCAGAGGAATATATTAGATGCTGTTGTCAGAACAGAGCATCGGCCTTCACGGCGCTCACAAGCAAGGAATACTGTGTCTGTGTTTACCCATCACCAGCAAAGGAGTGTAACAAGCATCTGAGGTTTTCCCATGCCCACCCTAACTTTTCTGGGAAAATAAGGAAATGGAAAGAAAGTAAGTAAGCTCTTCTCTTTTCCACATGGTGCTCTTTAGTATAGGGTTGTGTGTGTGTTTGTGTGTGTGTGATTATTTTTTCTAAACAGAATGATTAGAAGCCAGGTCATGGAGTAGTAGTGAAGTCCCCTAGGACAGACCCATAAATGTGGAACACTCTGACCCAGGAGGGAAGGTTCCCCTCTCATAAAGGTAATCGCACTTGATATCTTTCACTGTAAACCTTTTGAGTGACACTGATGCCATTTGGCCTTGCTGGGATTTCTCTGGCCTGGAACAGCTAGTTTATCTGGGCTGTAGTGACTAGTGTTCAGTCTCATATAGACTTGACTCCTTAAGCATGCTGTGAAATCCCCCTTACCTAAACTCATTACGTGGAGAACCTAGTAAAGAGCTTTTTAGTAAGGACTTAGGCCAGCCTCAGTCTCTGCCGTGGTCATCGCCTATGTGGCATTTGTCTGTCTCTGATCAAGTGTGCTCCAGCTGGCATGGGGGCAGAATCAAAGGCATAAGGAAGTGTGATTTTCCCCAGATTTCAGAAATAAAACCTCCATCTGCAGAATACTGGCCCAGCTTGTGAAGTTCCAGGACACCCTCTTTAAAGTAGCTGTGAGCCCTAGGAAGTCTCCGCATGTATTCATCATGATCCGGTAGAATAAGCCAGAACTGGAGCCCCTCTGGAGGCTCTGTGACCACAGGCAGGTTACTTGACTCCTCTGGGCCTCAGTGAGCCAAGAACAATGCCAGCAGGGTCCTTGCAGGAAATGCACAGATAGTTTGCATTATTCTTCCCATGTTCCATTTTCTCTAAGGACTCCTGACAGCAGGTGTGGGGTAACAGCAGATACCATTAATGGGTGTCCGCTCCAACACCTTGCAACTTTGCCCACAAAACTATGGGGCAGCTGTAAAGTGTACAGTAATGTAAAAAAAGCCAAATATGAAGAACTTTGGAAGTATTATTTTTGAAAGGACATTTAAGAGCTTCTGTGGTTATAATCACTTGCCTTGAAGGGGTTTTTGGACCCTCTAGGGCCTTTGTGTGGGATCTTCCCACATCCCTTCCTCCCTGCTTCCCTGCTCCTCCAACCCCACCTCCCCACCTTCCACATCTATTCGGCCACTCATTCATTAATTCATTATCTTTTGAGCCCTTGGACCTGTCCTTTGCCCTGGGGATAAAATAGTAAGTCACAGACCCAGACCTGCCCCCATGTTGCTAATTCCTATCAGCTGTTTATTCTGTGTCGGGAGCCAGACTATCCTGTTTCCCCCTCAGAAGTCTTTAAGTGTCTTGCCAGAGATCCTACAGCCTGCACGAGGCAGTGGTGGGGCCTGGATGGAAGCTAGGCCGACCCCAGGCTGACCTCAGAGCCTACTAGATGTTTAACCACTGGATTCTAGATCCAGCTGAACTCACAGTTACATAAAGTGTGGAAAGTACCTTGAAAGGCAGAATTCACGGTGAAGTAGAGTCACATTTGAGGGGAAGCAGCCTTGGCCAAGGGGCTTCCCTGGTGGTTCAAATGGTAAAGAATCTGCCTGCAATGCAGGAGACCCAGGCTCAATCCCTGGGTCAGGAAGGGCCCCTGGAGAAGGGAATGGCAACCCACTCCAGTAACTCTTGCCTGGAGAATTCCATGGACAGAGGAGCCCGGTGGGCTACAGTCCAAAGGGTTGCACAGAGTCGGACACGACCGAAGCGACTCAGCAGCAGCAGCAGTCTTGGCCAGGGAGGCTTGTGAAGGGAAGAAGCGATGGCAACATGAACCTGATGGCCCCACGGAGCAGGGATGCAGTGTCCAGAGGCCAGAGGTCCCGAGAGAGAGCAGTGCAGACCCTGAAACACACTGCAGTGTTCCTCAGACAGCCCAGGCGGGCCCTGCTTTGCTCATTTGCCCTGATGTCCCCGTGATGGGAATGCTCGTCCCCCAGGTCCCTCCCTGTCTTGCTGCCTGAGCTCCCTTTAAGGTTTTGCTCAAAGTTCAGCTTCTCTCACAATTTCTGCCAACTGGCCCCTTTAATCCTACAACCTG